TTTCCAGCCACTCTTCCCCAAGCCTGTAGCGCTGCATGGGGTTGTTGTGGCCAAAGTGCAGGACCCGGCACTTGGCCTTGTTGAATCTCATACAGTTGGCCTGGGCCCATCGATCCAGCCTGTCCAGGTCCCTCTGCAGAGCCTTCCTACCCTCGAGCAGATCAACACTGCCGCCCAACTTGGTGTCGTCTGCAAACTTACTGAGGGTGCACTCGATCCCCTCATCCAGATCATTGATAAAGATATTAAACAGAACTGGCCCCAATACTGAGCCCTGGGGAACACCGCTCGTGACCGGCCGCCAACTGGATTGAACTCCATTTACCACAACTCTCTGGGCCCGGCCGTCCAGCCAGTTTTTGACCCAGCGCAGAGTCCACCTGTCTAAGCTGTGAGCCGCCAGCTTCTCCAGGAGAATGCTGTGGGAGACGGTGTCAAAGGCCTTACTGAAGTCCAGGTAGACCACATCCACAGCCTTTCCCTTGTCCACTAGGCGGGTCACCTGGTCATAGAAGGAGATCAGGTTGGTCAAGCAGGACCTGCCTTCCATAAACCCGTGCTGGCTGGGCCTGATGCCCTGGTTGTCCCGCACCTGCCTTGTGAGCGCCCTCAAGATGATCCGCTCCATGATCTTCCCCGGCACTGAGGTCAGGCTAACAGGCCTGTAGTTCCCCGGATCCTCCTTCCGGCCCTTCTTGTAGATGGGCGTCACATTGGCCAGCCTCCAGTCGTCCGGGACCTCCCCCGTTAACCAGGACTGCTGATAGATGATGGAGAGCAGCTTGGCTAGCTCCTCCGCCAGCTCTCTCAGCACTCTCGGGTGGATCCCATCCGGCCCCATAGACTTGTGAGTATCCAGATGACGTAGCAGGTCGTTGACCGCTTCCTCTTGGATTATGGGGGGTTCATCCTGCTCGCCATCCCTGTTTTCCAGCTCAGGGCGCCGAGTACCCTGAGGGTAACTAGTCTGATTGCTAAAGACTGAGGCAAAGAAGGCATTAAGTACCTCAGCCTTTTCCTCATCCTCGGTGACAATGTTCCCCCCCGCATCCAATAAAGGATGGAGATTCTCCCTGGCTCTCTTCTTGTCATTAATGTATTTGTAAAAACTTTTTTTGTTGTCTTTAACGACAGCGGCCAGGTTGCGTTCTAGCTGGGCTTTTGCCTTTCTCATTTCCTCTCTGCACGACCTAACGAGATCCCTGTACTCTTCTTGAGTCGCCTGCCCCTTCTTCCACAAGTGATAAACTCTCCTTTTTTTCCTGAGTCCCAGCAAAAGCTCCCCGTTCAGCCAGGCCGGTCGTCTTCTCCGCCCGTTCTTCTTGCGGCGTACAGGGACAGCCTGCTCCTGCGCCTTTAAGACTTCCTTCTTGAAGATCGTCCAGCCTTCCTGGACCCCTTTGCCCTTCAGGATGGTCTCCCAAGGGACTCTCTCAACCAGCGTCCTGAACAGGCCAAAGTCCGCCCTCCGGAAGTCCATGGTAGCAATTTTGCTGCCTCCCCTCCTTACTTCACCGAGAATTGAGAATTCTACCATTTCATGGTCGCTAAGCCCAAGACGGCCTCCGACCACCACATCTCCCACCAGTCCTTCTCTGTTTGTGAACAGCAGGTCGAGCGAGGCACCTCCCCTGGTAGGCTCACTTACCAGCTGTGTCAGGAAGTTGTCTTCCACACACTCCAGGAACCTCCTAGACTGCTTCCTCTCTGCCGTGTTGTATTTCCAGCAGATGTCCGGGAAGTTGAAGTCCCCCACGAGAACAAGGGCCAGCGATCGAGACACCTCTGCCAGCCGCTTGTAGAACGCTTCATCGGCCTCTTCATCCTGGTTGGGTGGTCTATAACAGACTCCCAGCAGGATATCTGCCTCATTGGCCTTCCCCCTCATCCTTACCCATAAACACTCAACCGTATCATCATCACAATCGTTGAGCTCTATACAATCGAAACACTCCCTAACATACAGAGCCACCCCACCGCCTCTCCTTCCTCTCCTGTCCCTTCTGAAGAGTCTATAGCCATCCATTGCAGCACTCCAATCGTGAGAGTCACCCCACCACGTTTCTGTGATGGCGACTAAGTCATACCTCTCCCGCTGCACGATGGCTTCCAGCTCCTCCTGCTTGCCGCCCATGCTGCGTGCATTGGTGTAGATGCACTTGAGCTGGGCTATCGATTTCACCCCCGGCATCGGCATGCCACCCCTCGGCTCATCTCTAGCGAGCCCGGTTTTGTCCCCTTCCCCCATCGAACCTAGTTTAAAGCCCTCTCAATGAGCCCTGCCAATTCGTAAGCAATGACCCTTTTTCCCCCTGCGAGACAGCTGGACTCCATCTGTCGCCAGCAGGCCCGGTGCCGTGTAAACCTCCCCATGATCAATACAAACAACTCTTTGTATTTATTTTCCGTAAATCATATTTAGAGTTCACCTACTTGTACCTGTGCATACTTAATGTACTAATTTACTTCCCTGCACTATGAAAACTTCAAGAAGTCCCTGAAGTAATCATACTGTTTTAGTATAGTGTTAAAAATACTGAAGTATCAGCATCCTTTTAATCATCAACTTACGTTTGATAGTGTGTACAAACTGACAACTAGAAGGTGTTTGCATTTTCCTTATGACATTATTTTTCTGAGTCATCATTGCAGTAGCAATGGAAACTTAATTTATATGGAAAAGTAATCTATTTTCAGGTGAAACCTTTTACTTGCTGTTACCTTTTCAAATATTTCATCTAGGTCTGAAAATGAAGAAAATTGTTTTACTGTCCTCAGCAAGCCTCTAATTTTATTTTTTTCTAAAAGTCTTGTTTATTTGTCACTTATGTGCTCTCCGTATTCAGAGGCTCGTGAAAGAGAGAAGGAAGACCAGGCTGAAAAAGAGTTTAGAAGTCCACGCACTGATTCATCAGCTTCAGCATCCAGCACAACAGGAGCTGGGTCCACATCAACCCAAAGGTACTTAGATATGGTGGGAGATTCCATGTAACAGCTTTCTTATCTGAAGAGGGGTTTTGGGATTTTCTTTTGAGAGCCTGAGTGTCACTTAACTTGTGTGAACACGTCTGTGTTACCTGAAGTATTTCAGTGGAAATACTGATTTTTAAATTTTTTTTAATCTATGCTTTCTTAAAGATGTCTCAATATTTGTAAATATTGACATTATGTACATTTAATAGTTAATTTTGCAGTCTCCTCCCTAATCCTGTTTGGAATACCTTTTTTTTTTAAAATAACAATGACAATGACTACATGTGCTGACTTAATGAGCAGCTATTGTTCCCACCTGTAGATAGAGTATACTTTTTCATACCTGCTGAAAAAGAAAGCAAAGTAGGTAGAGAGCCTCTGTATGCACATTGTATAGAGTAGTGGTGGGGTTCAGAAAGTATTTTCTTTTGACTTCAGTCTGAAATTTATTCTCAAACCTGCCAATGTTTGTTTTATTGACAAACAATAAATGCTACTGCTTTGACAGTTTGAATTCTGAGATGCTGGGAAATAAAGAGTAGCTGAAGGTAATGGGGGCACACAACTCCATTGTGTGGCAGGGGTTGCGGAGATCAGTGCACTGTAAATTTTTAGGTTTCTGTATCATTGGAAGTCTAATACCCATACAAGACTCTAGTAGACCTATATATGTGTATCTTATGGGCTGATAAAGTCTATATGTGGTAGGTTATTATAGACAAACTTGTAGTGTTTCAGACTGTGAACAAAATTCTGTTACAAAATTTACCTTTTGCCTGTTGCTCTATGGAAAACTCAAATGAGCCGTGCACTCTCACTGAAATAACTGATCGCACAATATACTACCCTATAGATCCTGTGTTGTCTTGTGCATGAGAGAAAAGTATTCTGTGCCCCCATTTCTTTTTGATGATATTAGATACCGATCTGGTGAAATAATGAAGGATCACAAGAATTTAAATGTAACTTGGCTGTGTACTGTATATGGGTGACATGAATATAAAGAATCAATTAAAACAAATAGTAAGGTGGAAAAAGGTCAGGTGATACAGAGCCTTTCCCTAATCATGCCATTTCGCTAATGGACTTGACAGAAGAGAACTCCAGGGACTTTGTATAAAGGAAGATAACATACATTTCAGTATTCTGAGTTATTAGGTAGGCTCTGGTAACTCTGACCAGAGTTCTGCTGATACTAAGTTTTCTTAGTTTTTCTTTTGTTTTTACCAAGCATTGAGAAGGGAGGGCATGACATGAAAAGCTCACCTGGAAGTTTTATATTTCCTTGTAAAATATGATATGTAGCTTAGTACTTAGTGCTAAAAACAGGAAGCTAGTGAAGGAGACATGCTATTGTGAGTCAGCCTTAATTCAGAGGAACAATCCTACAACTGACAATTTAAGTCTGAAATACAGGACTCTCAGTAGTTCTTTTTATAATGTAGATGTTAGTTGATATAAATTGATCTAATATATATAGCTTGTTCTATTCTCTGAAAATGGCAACACTTTCCTGAATACTACTTTTTTAAAAATTCCAAGTACTTTCAGTTGTCATAGCCCTCATACTAATTTTTTAATTGTTAAAAAGGGGTTGGTTGCTCCAAAAAGATGTGAAGAACAGCTACTAATTCTTTTTTGCTTTTGAGCTACTTTGCTGTAGAGAAATGTTTACAATAGTTATGGTACTTATATATTTATGCATAAGTATACTACTAATAATTATGTTTTGTGAAGTGAAAGCATCTGCTAGTATATAAAAAGGAAACACCTGAGGAAATAGAGTGGATGACGTGAGGAGAGTGAACACACCGGAGGGGATATGCCCACATACTTGCACAACTCAGTGTTTTTTGTTATTTCCCCTGTCTGTGTGCCATCCATGCTCTAATGCAGCTTTCTTTTTTCCCTCTTACAGCTTGTTTCACTTACTGAGGAAGTAATGAGGGAAAGCAGAAAACAATTCCTTACACTTCTCTGAATCCTGGGAAAGGGGCTGGCAAACTTGTTCTTCTTCCTTTACAGCCTCTGGTAGAGTAAGACTAAGGCTGGAAGTTGAATGAAATGCCACTTGTTTTGTCCTTTCTGTCAGCACCACTTCTGGTTGCTGTCGGAAGGGTAGATGGGCTTTTGGTCCGGCTGCATTGGGATGTTCTTACGTTTGACTTTCTTGCAGTCAGGACAGAGGATACCAGCCGCTGTAGCTGGAGTACTTGGCTGTCCCAGCCAAGCTTGGAATGTGGTGAAAAATAGCACTGCAATTCTGGCCATTTCACGTGCAGAGCGATTACGCTGCCCCTCAAAATACTGAAATGTTTGATTTGATTGATTTATCCTTCCTAGCAAATGAGGGAATGATATGGATAGGTAATTATGAAGGAAGCTAGGTATTGTTCTTGGGTGTCTATAGAAAGATCTGAAAATCTTTCCCGGGACTCTGGGATTGGAAAGGCCTACTTGAATCATTATGTTGTATACATTCTTCCTGCTGGCAGCTACAGCGTATGCCTGGTTCCATTCCAAAACTAATTAAATAGTTTGGCTTTTGGGGAAAAGATATGTGGTTTGCTAGTCTGGGAATGCATATCAACTCTTAAAACACAACTCTTTTGCACATAGTATTGTAAAGTAGTTAGTTTTGGGGATACCTAACTTGAAGAACTTTGAAGGTCCCAACCCATTCCTCACATGCTGGAAAAGCTTCCTTTTGGTAAAAAGATATTGATTGCACCATTGTTGTAGAGTAAGAGAAGCTCTTTTTATTTGAGTTAGATTTATTAGATAATCATAGCCGGATCTAGGTCTTTAAATGTCTCTCATCACTATGCAAAACAAAGTTTGTATGTAGAGGTAATATCTTTTATTAGGCTAGTAAATATAGTTGGAAAAATTAGACAAGCTTTCAGGCATGCAAACCCTCCTCATCCCTGTAACATCTGAGGACTTAATTTGTGTTGGTTTTAGTTTGTTTTGATTTCTTCCTAAAATAGAATTTCAGTTGCTTATCCAACACAAATATTTGCTGTGTAACCTACTACCTGCTTGGTATACAGCTGGTTTGGGGGGCAGAGTGGGGCTGCACTCTGTCACAATTACATAGTTTAGAACATATTTTCCTAATCCTTTGTTATGTTCTTAAACTTTTGTGTTTTTATTATAGTTTTTAAGTGATAACCTAAACTTAAAAAAACCCCCAACAAACCAATACCTCTGTAGTCGTCATCTTTTATTTTCTTTGTTAAACTATCTTTTGCAGTCTGCTCACTTAAAAACTCACGTACAGCTTAAAATATAAGCTCCCCAAAACAAGTCTTGCAATTTGAGCTTCTCTCACTGTATCAGTGTAATGATAAACTGTATCTAGTCAAAAGGCAAAGTTTTCTGCTTATCACTATTAGACCTGCCAGTTAGAATACCGCCTACTTGATAACTGCCAGCAGAGGGAGCACGTTTATTTTGAATAAACTGAATGAAAGTGAACTAAATAGCTCTACTTTTCAGAAATTTGTGTTCACACAACTGATTTGGACAAGAGAATAATGATAATTTAATGCAACTTTTAGGATCTAGATTTGTGACAGTATCAAATATTTGGTCGAAAGTGCCTGATTCCGTGTTACTCTTTACCAGCATTATGAAGCAAGTGCCATGTTTTGTGTTCTCACTCTGGTTGTGAGCCTGGGCAGTTACTGTTTTGAGTTCCACCCAGCCAACAGAGGTGCAGAGCATCTGCACAAGCTGCAACTTGAAGCAGAATCTTGAAAATGCTCTGTAACAATATATTCTCTTGGCTTCTAAGCAATATTGAAATCCATACTAGTGACATGGTACTGTTGTTTTTACAATCTGTCTAACTTTTTCTTTGTTTTATTTTGTTCTATCACCATGGTATTCCTTTTTTAAAAGCTTTGTTTATGCTTTCAAGTTGATGGTGGGCCTACACTGTTAATAAAAATTAGTTTATGTTTTGCTGCTAATTTCAATGTTTACAAATTTACAGCAGTGCTCAACATCTTTTATCTGAAAATTCCTATGGAAGTGCCAATGTGCTTGAAATAGTAATTTTTTAAAATTTCTCCATGCAGAGAGACAGCCTGTAGTGAAAGTGAAGATAGCTCAGATGAAGAGTTAACTGGTCCTTCCATGCAATCCCAGACTTCTGCTCAAGGTCCAGCTGAGGATACTGATGGTGATGATGAAGATGATGAATTCATTGGGCCACCACTTCCACCTGGCTTCAAGGATAGTGACGACGATAATGACGATGATGCAGAGGAGGAGGATAATGTAAGTATTTTGTTCCTCTTTAATGTTTTAAAGCTTTGAGTAGACTAATTTCTAAGTGTGCTCTTTCCTTTATGATTGAATTTGCAGGTGAAGTATGACTGTTGTTTGAAATACATTTTTTTGTGTTTTTTCTAGTGATTATTCAACAAATGCAAATAATGGTTTTCATTTAAAAATACCAGGATTTTAAAAAAATGTATGCATGTGAATTTCAAGGGAAATCATCATGAATTAGTATATACTGTTTACTCTTTTTTTTTTCACATTATGAAAGAACTATATAAATAAATATTTTATATAAATATTTTATATGGTTTGTTTCCAAATGTATGTGTTGAATTTGTTACAAGGAAGAGGAGGTAGAGGTTGGCTTGAATCTAGGGAGAACAGTTGTGCCAAAACAGTTCTCAGAAAATGAACTGTGGTAACTGGGGGCTTTTTTTTTCTTTTTGTTTGTTTTGGTTTGTTTTTTTCTAAATCTAAATAAGTGCCAGACCTGATGTTAGAGTGAATATAGATTGTCTTTTCTACCTACGTTAAAGGCAAGAAAACCCCTAACAGCCTAACCTGGGTATCACAGGTACTCAGTTGACAAATCTGTCTTTATTTAGTTAAAAGTTTAATGGTTTGATGTTCATTCTCCAAAGCTTCCTGGATTGAATATATTGTGGCAGTGGATTTTGTATGATGGTTTCCATGTTGTTTTGTAGCAACAAGGATAGAAGTCCTGTAAAAACAGCCTTACTTAATGCTATTTTGAACCATTTGGTAGCAGAAAATGGTGTATGTCCTGTTACACAAATATAAACCTAATCCTAAAAAACAAATTCCCAGGTGTCTCAAGGGTTTTGTCAATTCCTCTTCAGTTTTGACTAGGTGTTCAGTTTGTTTGTTCTTTTCCTATGAAAAAAATCTTACCTTGCATCTTGTGAACTTTAAAACATAAGTTAGACTACTCACTTAAAATGAGTGAGAGGAACTTCTTAAGCAATGACATAACTGATTTTAGAGTGAGTCTAACCTTGTATGATCACAATTTTTGTTGTTGGTGTCTCCCCCCTCCCCCCACCCCGGGGATAAGTAATGGGAAATTCTGATGCCTTAGTTTTTTTTATTACTTTGTCTGATCTGCTTGATGCACTGTTGCCTATGGATTTCTTTAATTATCAAACTGTACATTTTAGTGCCGTATCTCCTGTCATCTTATCTGTAGCCCACACATGACTTGTTCTGTCTTAGGGAACCAACTGCAGATAAATCCCAAACTTTCCTTGAGAATGTTGTAAGCCTTAAGTTAACTTGTGACTTACTATTGATCTGTATCAGGAATTCTCTTAACTTTTAGCTGTTAGGGCACTGTGGAGTGAGTCCATATTCCTGAGGGCGTCGTAGACTCAGCAGACTTCAGTTGCTGTGGATCATGTCATATTGAAGTCACTACTTCTTTTCTGCCAATTTTCATCCGTTCTCTCATCTCAGGTCTGCTTCTTCCTACATTTTCAACTCGTAGTAAAATCTTAAAATACAGTGCTTTATCAAGAAATTTTATCAAACATGAATCCTTCCAACAGATAATCAGAATAATAGTTCCTGTCTTGAAAAATACTTACATTTACTGACGCTGAATGAAATGTTTGGTCTTGTTCAGTTTTGTCTCTAAATACTTTTCAACCTATCTTAGTATCATCCTGAGTCTTAGTGTGTACACAGATTGTGGTGAACCCAGATGCTTGTCATTTTGGAAAAAACCCACAATATATTACACAAAGAACAACAGCTTCTGAAAGTACCTATTAATAGCTGCTAACTTTGTGCATGTATGTAGTAGGAAGTGGTAAATCTTAAAAAATGCATGCTTGTTCTGCAGGTGTTTTGTTCTTTCTCTGGGGTTTCATCAGAATGCCCTTTTAAAGCACAGCTCTCCCTAGCTGTCCCCATTTCTCATCCCAGAAAAAAAACAATCTTTTGCTCTGCTGTCAGCACTTCTGAGGCTTGTAACTGTCTTATAACACTGAGTAATTGAAGCCACACAGAGAGAAACAACCAGGCTTGGGAATCAAGTCCTGTCAGGTATCTTCAATCTTTGGGAGAGTGTAAGTTCTCCAAGATGCTCAAAGGATTTCAGTGTATACGACATTAAAATAAAACTGTAAACTTGAAATCATGTTATATCCTGGCAACTAAACCCAAGGTTAAGCCTCATGTCTGCTAATATTTCATTGACGTATTGCACAAAATTTTGCATCAGAAATCTCTTGTAGCTATTCACCCTGATCTTTTCTACACAAACTTTATTGTTCGTTGCTTTGTTTCTATGTTATGTCCTTACTTATTTTCTTAAACAACGGAGGTTTGAAAACACCAGAACTATAGGCAGCAGTTGTCTTAGGGGGAAAAAAAAAAAGGAAGTTATATTTCTGTGGAATGCCTTCTTGTCAGGGTCTTAAGGAATTAAGTTGATTTCTAAACTGAGTATCTCCAGATTGTTCTTCCTAATAATTAAGAGAATTTTGCATGTGTTAAGCAAAATCCTCTATGATTTCCCAAAAACCACATTTATCAGATTAGCTAAATAATGGTGGTTCATCTTGTATACCTAATTTTTTCTTGTAACTTGTGCCAGAAATTACTTGGGTTTTCTTTTGCCAATGAGAATTGATACAAGTAGCTTGTGGTTTGACCATAATTTTGTTGTAAGACTAGCTTAAAAATTGGGAAAACTTTTCTCCTTGTTCCATGGTCTGTTAGAGATGTCACTTTCTGCGGTTAGCAAAAAGCATTATATATTTAGCCTGCTGTAACTCCATTCTGGAGTAAAAAATATATATACCTTTCAATTAAGTGTGCTGGCAATGGTCTTGCCTCCTTATACTGAATTAGCAAAATTGTTCGGTTGCGTCAAAGGAAGTTTCACCACATTGGTCAAGTAAACTATAATGGAAATACATTGAATAGTCAACATCTGTTTTATTGCATCATCAGTGGAAGGCTGGCATCCTTTTACATGATTTTTGTTGAGGAATTTTAGTTGAGTAATTTTATTAGGTTCACATGAATCAAGAGTCCTATACATACTACTGTTTCAGTTTATGGTATAATCATCTCTTTCATCTCAGTAGTGAGTGCTATATGGATTCCTAAATGAAATCATGTTCAAATTATAAATCAGTGCCAAGTTGTAGCAGACTCCTTCATTTATTCACATTTGTGGAATAAATGAGGTCTTGCAGGAGAAGTAACTAAATGCTGAGCACTCATTTACATGTCATCAAAGGTGGCTGCACCTTCGTAGGGCTTTGTGCATTGAAATCTTGAAAATGCAGTCTATTATACTAATAGTATAATAATATATACTATTATAATATAATAGTATAATAATATATACTAATAATTTTGGGAAAAACAACTGGATTGTTACTTCAACTTGATGTCTGTCATGTGCCAATGAGATACAGATTTTTAAAAAAATTTTTATATGATTGCTTGTATGCCTGTCAGATTTATGGATTCTGAGCACTGACTATGATTTATTTTCCTTATCTCTCTCCAAAGGGCAGTGTTTCTTGTTTAGTGAAACTCTTGCTTTAGTTCTGTAAACTTCTTTAGAATGCCAAAGGGAAAACTGTGTGGAAACAGCTGATTTTACTTTAACCTGTCTTTCTCAGTAGTCGCTTTGTTTGCTGGTTGACTGCTTGAATTTCTAGCAAGATTGTGGTATTAACTTTTTATTTATATGGATTTGAATAATGCTACAACTGCCTTGATAAGTGGAGTTACTGGAAACCAGAGTTAAAAGACCCCAATGAAAAGTTTCAGACAGAAAGGTAACTTGCAGACTGGTGTGATTTAAGTTTGTCTGAACTTAAGACAATAGTTACAAAACAGTCTAGAATAGATTTGGTTGAGAATAAGCAGAGCAGCAGAAATATGAGACTTGTGGGTTTTCAGTCTAAACAGTTAATTTATAACTGGGAAGATTTTGTGTCAGCGTGGATGCCAGAGGCCTTTGGGGTCTAGAGCCTCCCCTTACTGCTGCTAATGAACTCAGTTATTTTCTTTCCTGTGAAGGGAATCAGGAAGCAGCTGTGCTTTCCTGATTTCCTGTTGATCGATTGGTGATCACAGTATGATCCGGTGAGCCCCAAGGAAGGCAGGTGTTGCTGTTACGACAACTCTCTGATTCCTTTTTCCTGCTTGTACATCAGGTTGTGGTTGGTACACATGGGGGGAGAACCAGGAGAGGAGAAACGGAAAGCTTCCTTGAATAATTCCTTTGTTTTGTTTCCAGATGTACTATGAGACTGTCTCTCTTTTGTTATCATATTTTGCTGCTGAAGTAACTTATTTAAAACACAAGTATCTATATTTTTGGCCCTGCAGGAAACAAATTTTTCTTTAATAGTTATATGAGTTGCAGGTCTGTAATCTGAAGTCTTGTGAACTTTGTATAACAGATAAAATGCATCAAGATACTGGCTTTGCCCTGGTAGTTTGCCGCTGTCTCTCAAGCCTGACTTTAAATGTGGTTTTTATTATAGGAACGTTGTTTTTCCACCACTGCTTGTTCAGTTGTTTTTGCTTTCTTCTGAGAGACTGCCAATAGAGACATTTGTCAAAATTGCTTGCTATGAGGTTAACGTCTTTTGAGTCTAGGGTTGGCCCAGGACTGCCCAGCTCACATTGGGTATTATGCTGAATAATCATCTGGTGGAAGGAGTAGCTGGTGGTTATTACCTTTGATGGGAATTTTTCATACCTTATTGGTGTTTTTAGAGGAAAATTAATAACAGCAGTTAATTGCTGAATGTTTTGAATCAGCACTGTTGGTTTTTGAGTATTATACATTTCTGTAATTTACATTTACATGTGATACAAACTGAACATAAATTTTTGAGAAGAGCCGTAGATACTGTATTACGTATGTGAATTCTTACTTGAGTTACTTTTTCCTCTGAATTTATGTAAGTTCATTTTATGACTTTACTCAAGTCTTTGTGATA